ACCCCAAAACCCCAAAACCCCAAAACCCCAAAACCCCAAAACCCCTAATTATTTAACTTCCATTGAAACAAGTTTCTATTAAAGTGAGGATTAATCAAGTGTTCTTCCAAAGTTTGGCTTGCTTCCGTCAATAACAAACCTCACTGTTGATCCTGTTCTGTGTTTCTGGAAAATAGCTCTCTCGAATTGTTCTCTTTCGACCTCAGCAAGAATATGGAAGTCTGGGTCGACTCTCTGAGCAAAATCTTCAGTGATATGCATACCAAGCCTGTTATGATATCCTGCTCTGTCTCTCCAACTCAAGAATGGCTTTACATCGAGGAACTTCATGAAGCTATCTAGCTCGACATCCTCGTATCTTTCTTCAAGCTTGGAATCGAAGAAGGTACTTGGTCCTGAAGTGATGGGCCCCTTAATTAGTCCTGGCTCCCAATCAACTGGCTCAAATTCATCCTCATCAAACTCAGGGTCTTCAATATGTGCTGGTTTGTACACTTCTATTTCATCTTCTTCGCCTTCTCCTTCTTCATCATCATCATCATCTTCTACGGGAGCGAGGTTTTCTTCCTCCCATGTGTTTCTCCAGAAGTTGAGCTTCGGCTCCCAGTCTTCAAGAACTTCAGAGGCGTCAGCTAAGACGTTTCTTTCTGGGTTATTGTAGAAGTCCTGTGTATTCGTGGTTCTGGCAAGATGTACAGCTCTATCATCTACACGAGAATCTAGTTTGATCTCTCCAGGTCCAACGAAGGCTTCTTCGTATTCAGTCATGTTTACGTTGAGGAAGGTCTGATTCATGAAGTAGTAGAAACTGTGATCAAGGATTGGATCTTCGCACCAAGACTCCTTGACTTCCTTAAAGTCTTTAGCTCTGAGGAAGGAAGTGCTTAGTCTTCCAGTCATATCTAAACCGATTTCATTTCTGAGAGCGAGGAAGGGACCAGTAGCTGATCTAATGAACTCTTGTACATTTCTCTTTTCCTGATCGTACATTCTTGGAAGGGTATCATAAATACCAAGCTCTTCAGAGAACCTGAGTTTGAATTCTTTAGCGTGCTTGAATAAGTCCTTGACCTTAGTCTTTTCAATAGGATAATCATCCTTTTTCATGTAATCAAGCCTTGTCTTTCTAAGGTAGTAATCATTCTTGGCTACATATCCTTCTTCTTCTGAAAGTTTAGCAAGCATTTCTTCTAGTTTTCCTCCGTGGATGTCATCAAGATAGTCATTTCTTCCCTTGTTATTAATAAGGTGAATGAATGCTCTTCCTTCTTCCTCATTCATGAATGAAAAGACATTCATCAATTTTCTGAAGTATTCTTTGAGTTCTTTATGTTGTTCATACTGAGTTTTCTTAAGAAGAGTCATCATCTTAATTTCCTTTTTGAACTCTGGGCTCGAGGTATCACAGTTCTCAAGGTATGAGGCAGGCAAGTGCTTCTCATAGTTATAAATAGTAATCTTCTTTTCAGGATCAAACTCTAAGTTATCATAGTAATGCCAGTCTTTTCCTCCAGCTAGTTCAGTGAAAAGATCATATTGCCACTGTCCCTTTCTTGGAGCTGGGAATTGGGTTCTACGATGCATGAAGAATGGTAAGGCTAGAAGCTTGGTCCTATCACTTCTGTTCAAAGTCATCTGATTGACTTGCTCTTTATAGAGTGCCATACTTTCCATTGCATGAGAAATTAGTCCATCAAAATTCTTAGCAGGTGGGCCATGAGGCTTTGCGTTAGCAACCAACTGTTGTATCTTAACTGGGTTTCCCTCAGTTCTTTTTAGCTCTTCTTCATCAACAAAAGCAATATTCTCAATTCCATGAATCTTTCCAAGCAGCCAGAAGATTTTATTTGTGTCCTTGTCGAGCTTCTTAATCTTCTTATTTTTGAAAGAGTCCTGATCTTGGCTTACTAATTTAGCAATATCACCTTCAAGTTGAGTACGAGAAATAGCAGTAGTAGTTCTCAGATACTCACTGACCTGTTCAGTGGGGGTTTTCTTCTCTGACTCAACATCCATGTTTCTAAATCTAGAGACGATGTCATTCTCTCCTGTCAATTTCTCAAAGTTGACAAGTGATCCTTGGAACCTTCTTCCTCTAAGTTGGGAGGCTCCAAGATAACCACAATAGAATGCAAATAATGGAGCAATTGGAGCAATCCATGGCTTTCTGAAGATCAGCATACGCTCCCTGAATGTTGGAACGAATCTCTTTTGGACGTAGTATGCTGCAGCAAAACCGATAGAGGAAGCAAACAAAGTGTTTGCAGCTTTCAATTCCATCCATTCAAGCGTTTGGGCTGCTGTTGTCCTATCTAGTCCATAAGAAGCTTGAATTCTTTGGATTTTCCACTCATTGCGCCTCTCCCTTGAATCATTCAAGGCTCTGAGGTGCCTATCAGCTAAAGCACTGTTCATTTTATAATTATTATAATATTATTATCCCAGAAATGATTATAACGGGGTTTTGGGGTTTTGGGGTTTTGGGGTTTTGGGGTTTTGGGG